ATATTCCCCGAGCCGTTATCGATGGAGGGATATAACAGAATATTCCCCGAGCCGTTATCGATGAATGAACACAGTATACAGATTGAGTCGTTGTCTAGTGAGTGCAGTTTTGCGCCGCACTCAGCAATATTCCAGCATTATGGCGGCGGTCTGTACATAATCGAGTCTGGACCCGACAATCCATCATGAGCATCAATCTACACAATTGGGAACCGATGACATGTGTCAACCAAGTCAGCGAGCCTGACCAACCGATCCCGTTAGTCGCCTCTTACAACAAGCATGGGTTACTGAAGATCAATATTCTAACCCTGATCTTCACGGGTTGAGTCGTTGTCTATGAGGGGGCCTACTATATAATGCTAGGGAATAACCAGTCTCCATTATCTACCGAAACCGATTCCTGTGGGATCATTGGAACACATTATATTGGCTTGGTCGTTATAGTTAAGGGGATGTAACAAAATGTACGTTGATCGGTTATTCAGATCAGTGTAATGAAACAATAATGTGGGTTGGATGTTGGAGAATGTCAATCTCATAGTCGCTGGTGAAAGGTAAAGTGGTCAAATATGTGGTAGTGATAACTGAAATATCCCTTACATAATTTCTATGATGCTGTTAACAGTTAAACACATAAGTTAAATAAAGGGGGCGGAGACTCTTTCGCAGCCGCAAAACATAACAAATGGCTGTGTCCTTGGTGCGGTTATGGTTCCAAAGTGTAAATCATTCACATCTAAATACATATCAACATAATGAATAATTGATATCTCTCTATATCAACCCATCCCTACACATGACCTCCCCACCAAACATAACCTACACACACTCTCCACATCCACCCTAACTTACACATCTGTCCCCATCCACTCCATCATAACATACACACACTCTCCACATCTACCCTAACCTACACATCCTGTCCCCATCCACTCCATCATAACCTATATACACACTTCCACATCCATCCTACCTTAAAACACATCCTGTCCCCATCCACTCCATCATAACCTATACACACTCTCCACATCTACCCTAACTTACACATCCTGTCCCCATCCACTCCATCATAACCTATACACACTCTCCACATCTACCCTAACTCTACACACATCCTGTCCCCATCCACCTATCATAACCTATACACACACTTCCACATCTACCCTAATTACACATCCTGTCCCTATCCACCCCATCATAACCCCCATACTACACTGTCTCCACATCTACTCCTAACTTACACATCCTGTCCCTATCCACCCCATCATAACCTATACACACTTCTCCACATCTACTCCTAACTTCTATACACATCCTGTCCCTATCCACTTCCATCATAACCTATACACACTTCCACATCTACCCTAACTCTGCACTGTATACATCCTGTCCCTATCCACCCTAAATCATAACCTATACACACTTCCACATCTACTCCTAACCTTACACATCCTGTCCCTATCCACTCCATCATAACCTATACACACAATTTCCACATCTATACATTCCTAATCTTACACATCCTGTCCCCATCCGCTCCATCATAACCTATACACACTCTCCACATCTACCCTAACTTACACATCCTGTCCTATCCACTCCCAACATAACCTATACACGCTTCCACATCTACTTCCCTAATCCTTCTTACACATATCCTGTCCCTATCCACTCCAACATAACTCTATACACACTTCTCCACATCTACCCTAAACTTACACATCCTGTCCCTATCCACCCCATCATAACCTATACACACTTCTTCCACATCTACTCCTAACTTACACATCCTGTCCCTATCCACTCCATCATAACTCTATACACACTTCACATCTACCTCTAACTTGGCACATCCTGTCCCTATCCACTTCCATACATAACCTATACACACTTCTCCACATCTACTCCTAACTTATACATCCTGTCCCCATCCACCTCCATCATAACCTATACATTTAAGTATATCTCTCTCCACATCTACTCCTAATTTCTTTACACATCCTGTCCCCTATCCACTCCATCATAACTCTATACACACTTCCACATCTACTCCTAACTTTCTTACATCCTGTCCCCTATCCACTCCATCATAACCTATACACACTTCCACATCTACCCTAACTTACACATATCCCCTCCCCCATCCACTCCATCAGTAACCTACACACACTTCCACATCCACCCTAACTTACACATCCTCCCCATCCACTCCATCATAACCTACACACACTTCCACACATCTACCCTAACTTATACACATCCTGTCCCCATCCACCCTCTATCATAACCTATACACACTCTCCACATCTTACTTCCTAATCTCTTACACATCCTGTCCCCATCCACCCCATCATAACCTATACACACTCTCCACATCTACCCTAACTTACACATCCTGTCCCCATCCACTCCATCATAACCTATACACACTCTCCACATCTACCCTAACTTACACATCCTGTCCCCATCCACTCCATCATAACCTATACACACTCTCCACATCTACCCTAACTTACACATCCTGTCCCTATCCACCCCATCATAACCTACACTTGGCACATCCTCTATATCCATCCACCCTACTATACACACACCACATTCCACCCTAATTTCTACTCATATCCTCTCCCATCTATCAACGGGTAACTTCACATCCTCTCCCACATCCACCCTAACCAACACATCCTCTCCCCATCCACCCCACATAACCTCTACACACATCTCTCCCCATCCACCCCTAACCTACACTTCCTGTCCCCATCCATCCATCCCATCATAACCTATACACACTCTCCACATCTACCCTAACTACACATCCTGTCCATCCATCCACTACATACACACACACCTCCACATCTACTCCTAACTTACACATCCTGTCCCCATCCACTCCATCATAACATACACTATACACACTCTCCACGTCCACCCAAACTTACACATCCTCTCCCCATCCACCCCATCATAACCTACACACACTCTCCACATCTACCCTAACCTACACATCCTGTCCCCATCCACTCCATCATAACTTCTATACACACTTCCACGTCCCCACCCTAATCTTAACACATCCTCTCCCTCATCCACCCCATCATAACCTACACATCCTCTCCTATCATCCTAATTCCATGCCACCCTATCCACTCCATAGACATAACCTCTACACTATCCACATCTCCACCCTAACTTCATCCTCCTCCCCATCCACCCTAACTCTATACATGTTCTCCCCATCCATCCACCCTAACTACACATGCTCTCCCATCCACCCCCTAATTAAACTCCTACATCCTCTCCCATCCACCTCTAACATACACATCCTCTCCCCCATCCACCCTAACATACACATCCCTCATCCACCCCAATCCACCCTAACCTACACATGCTCTCCCCATCCACCCCACCCTAACTCTACACATGCTTCCCATCCATCCACCCTAACCTACACATGCTCCTCCCCATCCACCCACTCCTAACTCTACACATGTATATGCATTCCCATCCACCCTAACCTACATATCCTCTCCCATCCACCCTAATCCCTAACCCTAACCACACATGCCTCTCCCATCCACCCCACCCTAACTCCTACACATATGCATTCCCATCCACCTTTAACCTACACATGCCCCTCCCTATCCACCCACCCTAACCTACACATGCTCTCCCATCCACTCTGCCTAACCCACACATGATCTCCCCATCCACCCCACCCTAACTCCACATGCATCCCATCCTCCCATCCACCCCAATGCTCCCATCCACCCCACCCTAACCTACACATGCTCTCCTATCCACCCCTTAATCCTCACACATGCCCTCCCCACCCACCCCCACCCTTAACCTACACATGCTCTCCCATCCACTCTGCCTAACTCCCACACATGATCTCCCATCCACCCCACCCTAACCTACACATGCCCTCCCCATCCACCCTAACCTACACTTCCTCTCCCCATGCACCCTACACTAACTCTACACATGCTCTCCCATCCACTCCCACCCTAACTCCACACACATGCCCTCCCATCCACCCTACCCTTACCTACACATGCCTCTCCCCATCCACCCTAATTCTAACCCACACATGCTCTCCCATCCACCCTAACCCACATGCTCTCCAATCCACCCTAAAATAACCTGCACATGCCCTCTCCCATCCACCCCACCCTAACCTACACATGCTCTTCCATCCACCCTAACCTACAACACCCTGTCCCCATCTACCCTAACCTACACATTCTCTCCCATCCACCCCACCGTAATCTCACACATGCTTTCCCATCCACCCCACCATAACCTATACATGCCCTCCCCATTCACCCTAACCTACACATGCTCTCCCATCCACCCCAAAAATAACCTACACATGCCCTCCCATCTACCCCACCCTAACCTACACATGCTCTTCCATCCACCCTAACCTACACACCCTGTCCCCATCCACCCTAACCTACACATCCTCTACCCATCCACTCCACCCTAACCTACACATGCTCTCCCATCCACCCCACCCTAACCTACACACCCTGTCCCCACCCACCCTAACCTACACATGCTCCCCCCATCCACGCAACCAAAAGAATTTGACAGGAGATTGGCTGACGTTGAACTTCTTTTGAGAGACACTCATTACAACTATACTAAAGGGTTAAGATCACGCCCAGTCACATGATAACCACATGCCATTTTCTTTGGTAAATCACTGAAGAAGATGTTGATGTTGTAGCTCTGTCCAGATATGTGTGATAAATAAACAGAAGTTCTCTGTGACTAGCATATGCTGTAATTATTCATGCCCACGTCCATAACGCCGTGACAAGAATACAGCTTCATTGTGTGTATACCAGGAGTATGTTTCTTCATGACTGGTTTTGTTCTCCGTATACTCGCGCTACCCGCGGCATTGTGTACAGCCAGCTCGCACCGCTTGGCTGAATGTTCAAAAATAGACACGCTTTTCGACTCTCTCAGTTATAACTGTAATATCGAGTGGAGTCACGTGACCTAGCTGTGACAGGGCTCCACGCACACCGCTATTTAGGAGGGGCGTCTACTTGCTCTACCCTGCAACACCCGTAAGACCAGTGGTAGTAGGAGGTGGTTCAGGGGTACCGGGTTGTGTTCAGCGGACAGAGTATTAACTATTCGTGTTGATCGAACTACCAACGTCGAGATGAGTTCCATGCCTACGTTAAAGCCGAGGCTTGTTGTTTTAGTGAAACAACCGGGTGTGGTCTCCTTTGGATTCAATGTAACTGCTACAAGATCGGAGCCGTTCCGCTACGTCGGTATCGTGGTGGACAACTCGCTGGCCAAACAGGCTGGTCTGAGAAGTGGGGACAGAGTGCACGAAGTCAATGGTGTACCGGTGGACGGACTACCTTTACCAGATGTCCAGGGCATGGTGGCCCAGCGACGGGACCGGGTGGATCTCCTTGTGGCAGACCCCATGACCGACCAGCTATACCGTGACAACAACGAAGTGATCAGAGGGGGGCTGCCAGAAACTATCTGCATCCAGGTGCCATCAGATGACGTCTCGCCAAGCCAACAAGAATTTACAAATGGTGTGGAGGAGATCGAGGCTGAAGTTGTGGACCCCGACACGTTCCTTGGCGACGATGGAATGGAGGACATACCTCCTCCTATCACAGGGTATCAATCGAACGGAGGTAGGTTGTTATTACTATTGTGTGGACTCGGGAGCGTTAAATAGGCCACTTTGAGATATTCCGCCATCATCACTGGCATGTTTGTGTATGTCATTATGTGCTCATAACGGAGTCGGTACTCGTACATACCTTCGAATCATATAACTCATTCACAACATGCACAGATGTTTATATGTAAAACATTGACACCGTGTCTTGTATTCATTGATCGTTGCATATTCTAAACAGGGTTTGATAGTTTGCAACTCGGGCTCACTGTGTACCCTGGGGATTAAGCTGTGTCAGTGTCAAGACAAATGCGTATCATAATTAGGCGAGAACGTACAACGTGGCAACACGGGAAGGCCCTGTATTACATAAGCGGTCACTCTACAACAATAGCGGCTGCATTGTTCGGGTTGTCAGCTGATCCAGCCTGTCGTGGTCATGCTTCAGGGGCCACAGATCTTGCCCTACTTGTTCTGCCGGCTTACCTGTGAGGGCGTACAAATGATCAATCGATCCACTTAAGCTGGGAAATTACATCGACGCTGGTGTACACGTCTAACGCCTATTGTTTCTTTTCTTACAATTAGTGTTTTTCTCATACATTCTGATTATCCGGAAAATCTCTTTTCGTTCTTAACTACTTCCAACAAGAGGCTTAAAGTGGTATTAACTTTGAGCATGTATTGACTGTAATGAAAGTTTAAATCACATTAAATGTACAAACTTCAGGCAGACAGGTGTCTGCACAATGTGTAATAACATGTGTAATAACATTGTAAAATTATTAAACAGTGATATCTTCAACGGATGAGTAATAATAAAAGATAGTTCTTTCATCAAATAAATTAAATAACATGTGAAATGTGACCTGTTCAGCAAACCCAGCTATAATATGAGTAACGAGATCACTCTCTTTACCCTCTATTTGACAGACAGATCAGTTAATGTTCTATTTATTGGGTATAGAAAAGAACACTAATTACGTGTCAGTTTGCTCTAGGTCTATTCATGTCAAAATGGTAATCAAGTACACACAGATTTATCTCCATTAACACTGAATACACTGTAGTATGGCGTCTTTCGAGTCGGTTATGATTTAGAAACAAACGAGTGTATTTGTTTTTATGTGAAAGAAATTGCCACTTCACCACACATACCTGGAGCTGAGTCACATCTCAAGTCCCATCTCTCCTAACGTCATGAATTGTGTCCCAACTAAAGTCCTCATGAATTGTGTCCCAACTAACGTCCCATCTCTCATACTGTCACTAACTTTGTCCCAACTAAGTCTTATCTCTTCTGCCATCATGAATTGTGTCCCAACTAACGTCCCATCTCTCATACTGCCACTAACTGTGTCCCAACTAAGTCCTCTCTCTTCTGCCATCATGAATTGTGTCCCAACTAACGTCCCATCCCTCCCACGCCATGAATTGTGTCCCAACTAAAGTCCCATCTCTCCTCACGTCACTGACTGAGCACCCATTTCAAGGCACATGTCGTAGGTTGCATAACCACCGATGCCCATTCTCATGATAAGTTGAGTAATACGATGATCCAATCCCAATCTCACAATACATGTCTGGACACGATCACTGTCGCTCTACAGACCATGAGATGTGTTCCCAAACTGCAGTCCTTCTGTGTTCCCAAACTGCAGTGCTTCTGTGTTCCCAAACTACAGTACTTCTGTGTTCCCAAACTGCAGTCCCTCTGTGTTCCCAAACTGCAGTGCTTCTGAGTTCCCAAACTGCAGTGCTTCTGTGTTCCCAAACTTCAGTGCTTCTGTGTTCCCAAACTGCAGTGCTTCTGAGTTCCCAAACTGCAGTCCCTCTGTGTTCCCAAACTGCAGTCCCTCTGTGTTCCCAAACTGCAGTCCTTCTGTGTTCCCAAACTGCAGTCCCTCTGTGTTCCCAAACTGCAGTGCTTCTGTGTTCCCAAACTGCAGTCCCTCTGTGTTCCCAAACTGCAGTCCTTCTGTGTTCCCAAACTGCAGTCCCTCTGTGTTCCCAAACTGCAGTGCTTCTGAGTTCCCAAACTGCAGTCCTTCTGTGTTCCCAAACTGCAGTCCTTCTGTGTTCCCAAACTGCAGTCCCTCTGTGTTCCCAAACTGCAGTCCCTCTGTGTTCCCAAACTGCAGTCCCTCTGTGTTCCCAAACTGCAGTCCCTCTGTGTTCCCAAACTGCAGTCCTTCTGTGTTCCCAAACTGCAGTCCTTCTGTGTTCCCAAACTGCAGTCCTTCTGTGTTCCCAAACTGCAGTCCTTCTGTGTTCCCAAACTGCAGTCCCTCTGTGTTCCCAAACTGCAGTCCCTCTGTGTTCCCAAACTGCAGTGCTTCTGTGTTCCCAAACTGCAGTCCTTCTGTGTTCCCAAACTGCAGTCCCTCTGTGTTCCCAAACTGCAGTCCCTCTGTGTTCCCAAACTGCAGTGCTTCTGTGTTCCCAAACTGCAGTCCTTCTGTGTTCCCAAACTGCAGTCCCTCTGTGTTCCCAAACTGCAGTGCTTCTGAGTTCCCAAACTGCTGTCTCTCCGTGTTCCCAAACTGCAGTCCCTCTGAGCTCCCAAACTGCAGTGCTTCTGTGTTCCCAAACTGCAGTCCGTCTGTGTTCCTAAACTGCAGTCCCCATGTGTTCACAAACTGCAGTGCTTCTGAGTTAATTCAGTGCAGTGCTTTCATGTCCATGTTATCACTGTAGTGACTCACGTTAACTTATGAATCTTCAGCGATTTTCGTATATTCTCAGTGTGGCGGCGGGTATAAAATTTCTCTATGATAGTTGACATACTGTTACCCAATAATCGCTATAATGACACTTTCCCTAATGACGTGTATCCCCAAAGCTGCACGTGCTGCCAGTCCGTTCTGTGTTACATTATATCTAAGTGCAGGTTTTAAAAGTGGCACTGTAGTTGTAGACTTGTCAAACTGGGTAATAACTTGGCAGATGTACCTCTAACACATTATGCTGGTGGGAAATTGTCTCAGAATAATATTGTGATCTCACTTTCGTTGTGACCAACCAAAGAATCTTTTAAATTGCTATTCACGAATATTAAATGAAGAAAACATAACTGTTTCCACACTGCTGAATCCGCGAATGACGTTTCATGACAAGAGGGGGTGGCCTGCCATTTTAATGAGTGACACGTTATGTTCGGTACAAACCCCTTTACCTAATGCGACGCGATGTGACCAGACACTTGCAGCATGTCAAACACCAGGCCATTGTGTGACTTGTCAACACGGACGAAGGTGATCCCTCATTAACCAACGAACAACTCTCATATCTGTACCTTCTTCCTATTTTGAATGTACATAATTTATAAACGTTGACACCGTTCATATGATCAAATCCGAAAATTCAGGTCGGAAAAAAGACTTGAAAGATTCCAAATTCCTGGGCTGTGTTGACATGTGAGTGTATTTGCAGACTGTGTCTGAAGTATCTCGTTTTTGGAGAAGATAAGGATTGGGTAGATACTTGACAAGGCTCCACACACGTAGCACATTGCACTCTAAGCCCCACCCACAGCTATACCTGCTGACCGTCCAACACTGCTTCACAGGACGGTGGAAGCAGTCGTTGTGCGTATGGTTAATAATAAGACAGTCAGTCTCTCCTTGAAAGATACTACCATGGCATGCGCATCAGCCGATGTTGTTGAGGAAGGTGAGCATGACTACCTCGGGTCCATAAATGATTAGAAGTATTTAAAATACTGTGAGGTGACGCTCTTTTGTGTAAGAATGTATTTGATTTGTTTTTAAAAAGCATTTGTGACATGTTTTTCACTGGAGCATATATACTCGCACTGATTCCCATATTGTTAAGCAACCCATATGCATGATGTTTGCTGTTATGTTTATGACGTCCATAGTGAAGTGTGAAGCGTGAAGCGTTTGAAAACTAGTCTTAAAGTTTTAAACAACTTCGGCCGTACTGTCTGTGGATATGTACTAAAAGGGTTGTGCATGACTTCATCCACAAAACCAGTTTACTGTGCGTCAGTGCTATGTACTCATACTTCTTATTTCTGTGACGAATTTGGGAAATGTAAGCTTGAAAAGAATGACAAAATCCACATAGAGTAAGTGACTAATGTTTATAAACGTGTGTGACATAAGCCTTGCTCTGTAGAGCATACTGTCGAGTTTGTAAACATTTTAATTCAGGCTTAATAGAAAAAATATTTTGTGGCATTTATCTATTGTTGCAAACGAGGAAACGTCTGGGAGATTTCAGATTGTGATATATCATTGAAGGCAACATTATGACGATGTTAATGGTATCAATAAACATTAACCTTATAGCACAGATCAGCTGACTGCTTACCTCACTCTGTCAGCGTTTTGAATAGTCTGCGAGGCTGCCGCTTCACAATTCGTAGTTAAGAACAAATGTCATGTGATAAAGCTATCCCTGAATATACGGTGATAATGCTGTTTTCGGAATTCTAATATAATCTCAGAATTCTTTGGCCATACGAATGAAAGAAATAGGGCGTGCAAGATGAGTGAATGATGTTCGGACTGAACGAAAGACTGCTCATCTTGATATACTTAATGCATTCCAGTTTTCTATTTTTAAGGACAGTATACAGTTAGGGATCCATTGTCAAACCACCTCTGAGGAGTTGCGTCCCTTTGGGGTGCCATAATCCGAAGTTCACTAGTTAGACTTCCATAGTCAGAACCTTTCAAGTATGCATATAGACCCCAAAATTCTGAAACGATTGATAATACAATATGCTGTGTATACGGTATCCCCATTGTATTTCTTTGTTGTTTTCCAGTCATCCATTCCGAATCGAGTCCAATGAAGGCCCGACTGTGCACCGTCAAGAAATGGCCCGACTACCAGGGTTTCGGCTTTATCTTGCACGGCGACAAAGACGATCCCGGGCAGAGCATCGGCAAAGTGGAGAGTGGTTCCCCCGCAGAGGCAGCGGGACTGCGGCCAGGAGACCTCGTCGTGGAGGTGAATGGTGTAAATGTTGAGGCCGAGTACCAGCAGCAGGTGGTGGGGAGGATCGCTAATGGCCCGGTTCCACAACAAACTACTCTACTGGTGGTCGACCCTGACACACTCCGCTTCTTTCGTGGCCACAGTGTTTCAGTCCACGGCTCGATGGTGGACATAGAACGGATCGAGACTCCCCCGCGGGCGCTAGTACCAGGTAGGTTGATTTTGTCACTAAATACAAACCCTTCAATATTTATAAGAAAGTCCTTCTGAAAACATAGTTGACTGTACTATGCCTTTTTATTATCAAACATGTGATTATGAATAGCTTTGGAATTATAATGATGCCGTGTGATCACAAACACATGTAAAGGCAAGTCAAGTATTCCCCACAAAAATAACACGGGAACACAAGACACAGGTAGAATCAGTGCCACTGATGCGTCAAATTTGCAAACGTCCTCTCTGAAGACTTTTCCGAGGCTTAGTATGCCGCAAACTTGACATGATATGCTCCGTTGGTTTTCTCGCGGATTGTATTGGAGGACTGTTCTCAGCGTATGAGGTCACACATATACTACTTGTGCTAAAACAAGAAAACAACTCGGTATTAGATGGTTGCTGGGGTATGTGTATTTACTGCAGGTCTTTGCAGATGAAACTGCCTTTATGTAAGCTGACAATAACTAACGGCAACAGAAATTGCCCTTCTTTACATGTGTCGTAACTTTTCATCTACTAAAAAGTGGTGGTGTGCGGTCCTGTGCATAGAGCTCAGGTCACAGATCAGTTGAAGTTAAGCAATGTTGGGCGCGGAGAATTCTTTGATGCGTAACCGTGTGTGACAGCTTGACTCCTGAGAGTTTCTGGGACTTCAGTCCTGCCCCACAACGAAGCACGTGTGATACATATGGTCTCACCTTAGGCAAGTGAGTTTGTTCAAAATTGCCTCTGTTCACCCAGCAGAAAAAATGGGTACCCGGTGAAATAAGTCGTGAGACCATTAACCTTCCAGCGCCTAACAGGCAGATTGGGTTATCCGGGGAAATAATGATCACATTGTGCGCTTTGAGTAGGATATCAAGCCTGGAAAAGGCGCGTTATAAATATTCTCATTATTAAAAACACCCGTGCTTTTACTTGACATAAAGTGTGACATGGTTGCCTCTCCCTTGAGCTGCTTCCTGCCTAACATAGATTATTTCATTGGCTGGTTATTTTAAGAGATATATTGTAAATCATTTCACATGAAAGAATGTAGAAAATATGTTACAGTGATGGACAGCGGATGAAAAATACTTTCGTTGTCCCGAGGCACATAGCTTCCAGTAGTATATTTAGACTGTTCTTGACAGTGTCACAAGATCCATGACTAACCGATGATAAAATACTATAGTGACCCATTGATAAATTCCGCGATACTATGACACACATTGCCTCTTGTACATATCCTAGTATACACCTGAAAATCATGCACTAAAACATTTGGAGATTTCAAAGCAATACGTCAAAATTACAGTACCTAAGATCTCTTCATGAACACACCTGATCAACACATCTGAAAGTACCATATGAACACACCATAGATATACTAATACAAGATGCCATACTTTCACACAAGAAGAACCGTGATAATACATGTAAAAATCCCACATTTACACAGCTGTAGTTCCATACTTACACACCTGAAGGTCACATACCTATACAACCTACATGAACCCCCACATACCCATACACTAACACTCGTCCAATTGCCCTCATGAACACTTTCTAATATACCCCCACACCAACGCTCACACAATTGTCCTCACACTTTCGCCGATATACATCCACATTAACTCACGCCAAGATACCCTCACACAAGCACAAACCCAAATACCCTCCACGAACACATAACTTTCTACTCCCTCACATAACACACACACGCCAAACAGTACAACCCAACCCACATCTGAATATCCCACTCCACACACAGCAGAATACGTTCAACTATGAACTTGTTTTCCTTCAAAGCCCGAGATATACGAAATACAAAAGTACACACAAACTACGACTGACGATCAAATATTAGTGAATACGGCCGGGCGGCAGGTCAACAAAGGACCGCAAGCAGTATAGTATTCATAGTGCACAAGAAAGCAACCTGCTCTAGCAGGCGCACCCAAGTATATACTTTAGCTGACTGCAGATCAAACCTGGATCACAACTCGACGATTTTATCCTTGAAACATCTTTTCATACGTATGTATATGTATGTACACCACCCCATGGTAAGAAAGACCTGTGTGAATAGACTGTGACCTATATAGAAATTCCCTTCAGCACAAGAGACCATGGTGACAGGGGTATTGTCAGGGACAAAAAGCCGCCGCGGGTAAAACCTGTTTGTGTGAAGCTTATATTGCAGCGGTGACTGTTTAGCTGCGGGCCACATTGTCATGTAGACTTGCTGTGTTACCTGTAAATGTGCCACACGTTGACTTGTCTCTATAGACAGAACTAGGTAAACGAAATCAAATCTCATTCATGAAACTCTAGACATTCCTTGCCTAATGTACCCATAGATAACTGACAGAGCGAGCATATTTCGCCCTATCTACTCTTGCTCGACTTGTCATGAATCGCATATATGTGTAAACCTAGACTTGCTTACCTGCGTAAGAGATTTGTGCATCAACTCATACTTTCTTATTTGTGTAACATATTTCTGAATCAGACCAAGGCATTATTTGTGAACTATTTCTACAGTAGAACTACCATCCCGTGAATTCTTGATATAATCTTGCCCAATAGTGGTCCCTGACAATTGAAAAATATAATACTCGTATTAATGTTATGATTAAACCAAAATTAATTTTTTTATGAGTTGTTGTAACCTGCATAACTGACCAGGACGATGATGGTGATTATGATGATGATGATGATGATGGTTATGGTGATAATGATGATAAACCAATATATACCGAGAAAGCATCATTCATATAAATAACGCGTACATAACATGATCATCGCATTCGCAAATGAAAAACCATGAATTTCCTTCACTCATAAAATCAACCCCACACATATCATGTCAGCAATGCTTCCACGTTGAGAAAATGCCCCATCCGCACTCTTTGCCTCGTGTGAGACGGTGCACTTTGTTTGCCTGTGAGCGTCTCCCTATCGTATTGTCTTCCACCATAGCCATGGTCGCGACCAGCCTGTTGTACTCGTTATTTCGCCACCATCCCATCACACTGATCTTGATCAACAGTCGTTTACTGTTGAACTGAAGCTCCATAATGTTTGAATGTCTTGAAAAGAATATTGAAGTAATTTAACCTTCTTAGCGTGCATTTGAAAATCTTGAAGTCTTGAAGACAATGTAAACGGTAAGACCCAGATAGGGTGTAGTTAATACGAAGAAAAACCCCATTGTAATGGGTAAATGAAACACTAAATGCTCACATGAATAAATATTCAGCCTGCAGCCATGTCTTTTATCATTTCGTATCGATTAAGGATTTTCATTATACAATAGGATATTTAACAGGACACAGCTCTATCATGCAATTTCACACCATTCTTTGCCACCGCCGACACACACCAATCACATCAATTCTTGAAGAATGTCCTTGGCAGATTGTTCCACTCACGATGCATCAGCTGCTGCTACACCTGTCCTAAATGTGATATTTTCCGGTTAGGGCGCGTGATGAGGAAAGTGAGGCATTCCATATTTTCAAAGTAATGACGATGGGGACGATGTTACTGTTCGTATATCGGGTGGTACTTTCAATGCTTGTTCTTTCGTATATTTCAGCGTACACTGGAAACATAAAAGTGAGATTATGTCACGTAAAGAAATGGGCAGATTTCTCTGGGTACGGCTTCATCCTGCATGGAGAAAGGGGCGTCCCGGGCACTTTCATCACCAACATTGACGAGGGGTCCCCAGCGGTAGCAGCCGGATTACTGGACGGTGACAAAATCATTGAGATCAATGGTGTGAACGTTGAAGGTGAGGAGCAGCCGGGGGCCATCAGACACATCCAGATGGGAATCGACGGCAACACCAATGAGACAAGACTCCTGGTGGTGGACCCTGAGTCAGAGCGATACTACAAGAGACAACAGGTCCAGGTCTCGGGTTCCATGGCAGATGTTGTTTACTTAACTAACCCGGAGAGGGAACTACTTCCTCCACCCCCTGTCATAGGTAAGTTGATGATCACAATGATTTAAGTGTATCTATGTTTCTGTGACCAGTTACTCTAGTAAATGGATGTTTCTGTGACACGTTACTTGACAATTACAAACATGATCTCACCATTGGATATTTGGTGCGAAAAAGGTCCTCAGTTCCTCAGTTCATGATATAAGAGCGGAGATCAGGAGGCAGCTGACTGACTTAATTGCGACGATCCTCAGGAGGGTTGATCGTAATGTAATCCACTGGTTTGGTTTTTCTGGTCCAGATGGAAGCACCGACACATTGCAGTGAACGGAGATGCGGCACATTGTTTTCGTGAAGTGGTTGAAGAAATCACCAACAAATTTAATGAAGCATCCGTAATATGTCAAAAGTGTAACAGGCCTCGATCATGATAACAAATTGTTTCTCTGGCATACCGTTCGCCGCTTCGTTGCCAGGAACGTGTTCCGCCATTGTTTTTTAAAGCAGCGGCAAACCTTAATTTGTCTATATACGTGTTGTATTAGCGCACAGCCGTCTCTGCTGTTGCCCAGCCTACCCAATCTTTGTCGTCTGTGGCAAGCTGCTCGGGTCACACCCTTCATGGGCCTTACTGCCATTGTACGGAATTCTGTATCAATGAACGGAGCAGATGATATGTTTATTCTGGTTTATGTTATTGTCTCAATAACCCAAGCTAGCCTGTAGTAGAGACTGCAGTATAATGTCTTAAGTATGGGATGATAATATATTTCAAAACGTCCACGCTAGATAATAAAATGCAAGCTCGCCCGGGTCTACAGGTTGCACTCGCACGGTTTTCCAAATAAAAGTTAAAAACCCAACATTTGTCATTAGCGGCTTTACCATTTTGTCTTCTTGTTCCACAGAACCACAGTCCAGAAACAGTAACTCTCAATACAGGGCCCGCCTGTGTCACCTCAAGAAATGGTCGACGTTTGACGGCTACGGCTTCTACCTGCAGTCAGAGGAAGGAGTCAGAGGCATCTGTGTCGGGAAGGTTGACCCCGACTCCCCTGCCGAGGCCGCGGGACTGCGTAAAAACGACCGGATTGTCGAGGTGAACGGCGTCAATGTGGAGGATGACTCTCAGAACGATCTTGTAGAAAAGGTTGTGGCTATTCCCGAGGAAACAAGGCTTCTAGTAGCCGACAGCGCTACGTTTCAATACTTTCTGGACGCCGGTATCATGGTTAACGGAAACATGACAGATGTGGATGTCATTGAAGCCCCTGACCGATAAACTGGTACGTGGTCATAAATAATAAATACATATGCTACTCAAATATTTGCTGAAGATGTCTATTAGACATTAGTCTGTCAATCAAAAACTAATAGGCTAATTATTGCATTAAATTATGTACCTTTATGAGTAGACAACTCACCATTTGCATTTTGATCACCAAACGTGTTGCCCTCAGTATATGTTGAAATATACAAATGGCCCGATCACTGCTGATAAGGGCCGTAAATTAAATCTTTGTGTGGGCCTCTACATATGAATGGGTTTAATTGACTTATGAATGCGCACATGATTTTTTGTCAGATGGTATTTTGGCAACAGTTGCCAATACCATGTAAATATATCTTGCAAAATAACACATCATATGCCACTTCTCGTATGAATAAACAACTCCAAGGCCTTATTGTCTGTAAACGGAAGTTTTATCACCGAAAATACCCTTCAATAACAGATCGATTTGTGTTTCTTTCCAGATGGCGATGGAACTTCACGAAAAGATGCGTGCCAAATCGTTACTCGCGCATCGCCGTTGCAGCTGAAATCAAAGACATTCATTTCCCTTTGAAACTGATTCTGTGTTAAATTACCCAGTGCGTGTATGTACACTACTTCATCGCCCATGAATTGGTTATAACATAGACGTTATTCTGACCACATGTGAACTGGTTATAACATAGACGTTATGCAGCCCACATGTGAACTGGTTGTAACATAGACGTTATTCTGACCACATGTGAACTGGTTATAACATAGACGTTATGCTGCCCACATGTGAACTGGTTATAACATAGACGTTATTCTGACCACATGTGAACTGGTTATAACATAGACGTTATTCTGACCACATGGGAACTGGTTATAACATAGACGTTATTCTGACCACATGGGAACTGGTTATAACATAGACGTTTTGCTGCCCACATGTGAACTGGTTATAACATAGACGTTTTTCTGACCACATGTGAACTGGTTATAACATAGACGTTATGCTGCCCACATGTGAACTGGTTATAACATAGACGTTATTCTGACCACATGTGAACTGGTTATAACATAGACGTTATGCTGCCCACATGTGAACTGGTTATAACATAGACGTTATTACATGTGAACTGGTTATAACATAGACGTTATGCTGCCCACATGTGAACTGGTTATAACATAGACGTTATTCTGACCACATGTGAACTGGTTATAACATAGGCGTTATTCTGACCACATGTGAACTGGTTATAACATAAACGTTATGCTGCCCACATGTGAACTGGTTATAACATAGACGTTTTGCTGCCAACGTAGTTTGTTACCACATTTATGTTAACCGAGGATTTTTCAATTATTTTTGCTTTTGTAGTTAGCATGGTGAGATTACAACGGTGAGACTGTATGTACTTATAGTGTAGCAATGCTTCATGACCCTAGACGTCGGGTAAACACGCAGTGAAGGTTAACGACAAGTTTATCTAAAGGATGACGTCATGTTCAGATTAACGAATAAACAGAGAACATGTTAAATGAAGTACAGATACAAATATCAGTTTTCTTTGTTACTAATTTTGCATTTAAGTACATGGTAAGGACTGCTTAATGTAAAAAGAAAGCGAAAGTAGGTTCAGAACCTGTTATGTTTTATTTGATGTCCCTCTTGTAAACAGTGCTGACGTGCAGTGTTGTAGGGCCCTATGGACGTTATCCTATCGACAGATTATCTGGATCCTCGCTGAACAAGAGTCTGCTGGTGTACGTGGAATACACGGAATATGCACGACGATGTTTACGGGGTTGCGTGACAGGAAAATATATATACGCATATGCCTCATAGTTTCACCCTGCTGCAGTGAACAGTGCAACAATGCAATACGTTTGGACCATGTATGTTTCCCTTGGTGTAGCAGGTGTTTCGCCATCTTGATATTATATGTCATTGTTAATTGTGTATATTCCTCACAAAATCGTGTCTTTATATACTAATATGTCTATGTGAACAGATATTATATTTTTACTAAATAAACCGTATGCAAATAAGTAAGAGAGTAAGTTGTTCTTTCTATGCACTTTGGGTTGACTCAAACAGGTATATCCGTGTGCATATGATACACATGTACATATCATATTCTGTAGTTGTATCCGGCAGGATATGTTTGGTATAGTTGCTTGTTATTTAGAGCCACGCTCAGCAATTAACCTACTCTAGGAGGGCGATCTCGAGTCTGGACCAGACAATCCAGTGATTCACATCACGAAAATCGAGTGTATGAGACACATGCACATTCACTGTTTACCCTTCAGTGTTGTTGTACTGCCTTCAGTGTATCAGTGTACGAGAGACACATGCACATTCACTGCATTTTGTTGTTGTACACTTCAGTGTATGAGACACATGCACATTCACTGTTGGGCATTGTTGTTGTACACTTCAGTGTATCAGTGTACACTTCACTGTTTTGTCAGTGTATGAGACACATGCACATTCACTGTTGTGTTGTTGTACACTTCAGTGTATGAGACACATTTGCACATTCTTACACCTTCAGTGTATGAGACACATGGGCATTCACAGTTGTGTTGTTGTACACCCTTCAGTGTATGAGACACATGCACATTCACACACTTCAGTGTATGAGACACATGCACATTCACTGTTTTGTTGTTGTTATACCCTTCAGTGTATGAGACACATGCACATTCACACTGTTCAGTTGTTGTACCCTTCAGTGTATGAGACACATGCACATTCACTGTTTTGTTGTTGTACACTTGTTGTTGTACATGCACGCACTTCATGCACATTCACTGTTTTGTTGTGTATTCACTGTTTTGTTGTTGTCAGTGTATGAGACACATGCACATTCACTGCTTTTTGTTGTTGTACCCTTCAGTGTATGAGACACATGCACATTCACTGTTTTGTTGTTGTACACTTCAGTGTATGAGACACATTCACATTCACTGTTGTGTTGAGACACATGCACATTCACAGTTTTGTTGTTCACTTCAGTGTATGAGACACATGCACATTCACTGTTTTGTTGTTGTACCCTTCAGTTCAGTGTATGCACATTCACAGTTGTTTTGTTGTTGTACACTTCAGTGTATGAGACACATGCACATTCACTGTTTTGTTGTTGTACCCTTCAGTGTATGAGACACATGCACATTCACTGTTTTGTTGTTATACCCTTCTTGAGACAGTGTATGAGACACATGCACCTTCGGTGTATGAGACACATGTTTCACTGTTGTTATACCCTTCAGTGTATGAGACACATGCACATTCACTGTTGTGTTGTTGTACCCTTCAGTGTATGAGACGTGCACATTCACTGTTTTGTTGTCGTACCCTTCAGTGTATGAGACACATGCACATTCACAGTTTTGTTGTTGTACCCTTCAGTGTATGAGACACATGGGCATTCACACACTTCAGTGTATCACATGCACATTCACAGTTGTTGTTGTTGTTATATTCACTTCAGTGTATGAGACACATGCACATTCACACTGTGTTGTTGTTGTGTTGTTGAGACACACATTCAGTTGTACACTTCAGTGTATGACACATGTACATTCACTGTTTTGTTTGTTGTTGTACACATTTGTTCACAGTTGTACACTTCAGTGTATGAGACACATGGGCATTCACAGTTTGTTGTTGTTGTATGATACACATGCACATTCACTGTTTTGTTTACACTTCAGTGTATGAGACACATGCACATTCACTGTTTTGTTGTTGTTATACCCTTATGAGACACATGCACATTCAGTGTATGAGACACATGCACATTCACTGTTTTGTTGTTGTACACTTCAGTGTATGAGACACATGGGCATTCACTGTTTTGTTGTTGTACCCTTCAGTGTATGAGACACATGCACATTCACAGTTTTGTTGTTGTACCCTTCAGTGTATGAGACACATGCACATTCACTGTTTTGTTGTTGTACACTTCAGTGTATGAGACACATGCACATTCACTGTTTTGTTGTTGTACACTTCAGTGTATGAGACACATGCACATTCACTGTTTTGTTGTTATACCCTTCAGTGTATGAGACACATGCACATTCACTGTTTTGTTGTTATACCCTTCAGTGTATGAGACACATGCACATTCACTGTTTTGTTGTTCTATACGGTAGTGTAGGAACCTGTAATATTCCGTTGTTGCTTTCGAACAGTATATGTGCAGGTAAAAGCCGTGTCTATTAAATACTCATGATTGGCCTGGAAGTGTCTTTGAGACAATTTAATGTTTCGGTTGGAAGGGTGTTGAGTGAGTGAGTGAGTTTAGTTTTGCGCCGCTCTCAGCAATATTCCAGTTATATGGCGGCGGTCTGTAAATAATTGAGTCTGGACCAGACAATCCAGTGATCAACAGCATGAGCATCGATCTGCTCAATTGGGAACCTATGACATGTGTCAACCAAGCCAGCGAGCCTGACCACCTGATCCCGTTAGTTGCCCCTTACGACAAGAATGGGTTACTAATATCAATATTCTATGGAGAGTTTTGAGTGGCATAGTAGTAACAACTTATACAAAAATAGAACATTGTGTCACATGCTAGTCATATATACACATCCATCAAACATTTAGATTGTTGAGAAAAAGAAACCCACAGATCTGTTCGACCTTGAGTGATGTGGAGAACTAAACATTCTGCACATATCCCCAAGTTACATACGGCACAGAGTTGACTTCTGTTTTCTGATTGGTTAGATTACATCACTCGAATAGATTATTTGGTATTATTGTGACTGAAATCAGGTGTAGTTTGATTTTGTTTAGAAATATAAGTGGAATACATTTACACACGTTTTGGAGAAATGGATGGTAAGGACGTGGCATTTTTATGGAAACTATCTACTATTGCTTGTAATGTTAGTCATTTTCAGTGTGCAACGACTAGACATTGCAACTGGAAATAACGCCATCAGACCTTTTGAGGCAGGGTGGTCACAGTCCTCATTCGCTCAGCACAGTTGCACGTCTTTGGAACAGGTATCACCAATACAGGTCAAGACATCACTCAAGATCTGGCAGACCAAGGATCAAAGCCTCAGCAACGTGCAGGTTCATACGGGGCTTTCATCTAAGTCATCGGACCCTCACGGCGACGGACGCCAGGTCAATTGTGCCTGGTATGCGTAGGGGGTCGGCAAAGACAATGCAGAGTCATCTTCGTGAGACTGGACTTCGAGTCAGAAGGTTGTATGTTGTTACTATTCTGCGATATGAGCACTAACGTTTGCGTTACAACCGATATCGCCCGACGTAAACCTGTTTAGATGGATGAACACGATCGCAGTTTCCCACAACATCAACGGTCAGCTCCTTGAACACGTCATTCAGCGTAGGCAGGCAGTGCATGAAGAATGGGCACGAATATCACAAGATCGGTGTCTCACGCAGGTAATGCGTAGGCGTTGCGGAGCCATGACTAAGACAAATGGTAGTCGTAAATGTTGCTGACGTAAACGTTGCCATGTCACGCTGTCTGAACTTTTATGTCAACATGAAAAAAAACACTGTGAAGCAAGTAAAAGAGCAAAATATCAACCCTCATTTTACAGGGTTTACTGTGTCCCTGGGTGGGCTTAAACTTAAATCTATCAATTGAAATGCGTGATTTTTAAAATGAAAAATGAAAATGAAAAAGAGCGAAATATCAATTACTTATGTTTACAAAAAGCAAGTGCGTCCCTGGGTGGGCTTGAACCACCAACCTTTCGGTTAACAGCCGAACGCGCTAACCGATTGCGCCACAGAGACGGAACTGACGAGGTGGGGCTCATTTTGAGATGTGACTGGTGTGGTGGAAGGTAAGTGTCCTTGCAGAAGGAAACGTCTCATGGTGTGTGAGGGATGGGATAGTGTTCCACAATAACACACTGGCTGACTTGATGCATGTATTGGAAAATGTGGACACTAGGATATACATGAACTTAAATCTATGAATTCAAATGCATGCCTTTTACTTATGACTGTGCACATGACAAAAGCATACTTCTTGCAGTTGAACTCATTTTCTTGTGAGATGGAAAAAGAATTTGTTCCAATGCCGGGAATCGTACCCGGGCCGCCTGGGTGAAAGCCAGGAATCCTTTTTTTCTCTTTGATAAAATGTTATTACAGAAGATACTGTACATGAGGCATTTACAATGTTACATAAAAGGGCTAAAAGGTATCACAGATGTTGAATTGCATTCAAGTCATGTATAACATTACATGCATTTCATTCTTGAAACGGATACTTAAATACAAGCTTACTACCGTCTAACTCCAGGAAGTTTACTGGCATGATATATCCCTGAATGAACTTATCAGCACGGTTTTCAGATTGAAACCTTGCCCACAACAGATTAAAGTGTTGTTTTGCGTAACAGTTGAATAATTTTTCCAGACTGAGATTGGATCTCTGTAAAGAAAGAACCGCTCTTTTCTTGACAACAGAGATTCTATATACAGATAGCAATATGTTGATACTGTGCTCAGACGAGACTGATTTGTCATGATTAAAACCAAATAGAAGCCAGGAAACTAACTGATTAAATGAAAATCCAGTGTCCATCATTAAATCTGTGAACAGAGATTTAAGAACGGAAATTGTGTCAAACAATTCATCACAGAATACAAACATATGAAGCAAATTTTCTACTTCAGTTTTACAAACCGGAACACAGGTTAGTGTCTGTTTTGCCATATTTGAATAATTTTTCATTTGTGTAGATAATATTATGGCTTAACCTGAAATCCAAATCAATTTGTTCAGAGGATTTATCTATCAAGAATACACTTTTCCAAACTTTTGGCCAGTTAATGTCAATTGCATAGTTATCCCAGAATGAAATGGCTGTTGGCTCACAAAATAATGCAGTAACAAATAAGGAATAATTAAATTTATCTGTGAGATCTTTAGAAGAAATATTTACATCATCTTTGCAAATAACAGCATCAGAATAATGTTCATTGTTATGTTTTATCGTTTTACTGGACAAAATTGGCAACCACTCACTTGGTAGTGACTGAATGATAATACAGTATGCTGTCTGTATCTCTGACACAGGTATATCATGTCTGTGATCGTGTATAATTTCTTTTATTGCTGGAAGGGGTAAAAAGCCGGGGATAAACTCATAACAAATATCGGCAATAGTGACAATGCCTGAATCAATGAAAAATCTAAACAGCAGCATTTTGCCCTTATAGCAAATGTGCGGATTATGAAACAAAGGCTGCGACATGATATCCTCGTGCTTAGTGACAAGCAGTCGCCTGCCGCACGTGATTTCGTCCCATGCAATCAAAACCTCAGCATAGAACGTGTTCATATGGGTCAAACCAGGACGACTGTAAACAATACTGTTGGGACATGAACATAGAACACGTTTGCTTCCATACTGCATGGAAATTAACATCCATGAGTTTTCGAATGACTTTTAATCTAAATACATATATTTTGTATTTAAAATATGGAATTGATAATCCCTCCTGTGTAAAATGACCACAGCATGTCGACTGCTTGATCAGTGGGGTTTTACCGCCCCAGATAAAATGTGAAATTGCTGAATTTATTTCTTTCCTTGCCCACTCTGGAACAGGCACTACATGTACAATATACCACAACCTTGACATTATGAACGTATTTATCACAATAGACATACCCTGTAAGGATAAGTT